TTGGGCCCCAACGATAGCCGCCAAAGTCGTTCAAATCATTACGGACTTCGCCGCGCAATTTGCCGCGCGAATCCTCGGACGCACGTTCGTACACATACCCCTGGACCCTTGCGGAACTTTCAGTAGCCGTACATGACAACAGGCCGTGACAAGAATACATGCCATCGATCAATACGCATCCTTGGCAGGTGCCCTGTTTGAACAGATCGGACATACTTACACTGGCCGGGAAGCCGCCAACGAAAACTCGATGAGGTATGAGCTCATAGGCGGGTGTTGGAATCACCGCCGTAGCACCAGTCGTATAGTAGATTCCAGTGGACATGTCATACACAGGCGAAGAAGCAAACGATGGGATCATCTGAAGAAATCGAACCATCTACAGGAATGTCGCACCTCATAACGGGAGTAACTTCGTTGGACGAACCTCAACTCAAAAAGAAATCCGCGTCAGAACGTCAACGTCACAAATGTTACGCCGCAAGGAGCGCCGAAGGTGTGTACGCTTTGCGGAGAGAACAAGGAAAAAAATTGAGAGTAACTGAAATGATCGGTTTTCTCTTTGAATGGTACAGTGAAAGTAAGAGAAGCGAGTTTAAAGGGTTAAGGGACAAAAATAGCCCCTAGGGGCAACCGCACACCACGTTTGCATAGGGTGAAATGAGCGATGTTTCGAGAATTACCGCTTACGTCGTCATTTGATCTACGAAGATGTCGATAGACGTGTGGGGATGGTAAGACTTCCAGCGCCAGGATTCTGAAGCCCATTTCGTCGTCACCGGCCTGACGAACATGGCTGCTGAAATGCCGTTTTGATTTGGGTGTTCCTCTAGCTGCGATCTTTTGGAGGGAGCTTAACTTGGGAAATCACCTGGACCGTGCCGCCATCGAACAGGAGCAGATCACAACTATCCATTGGGTACCGTAAGATTCTGGAACAACCTCCTACTCCAACCGATAAGTCTTCCCTAACAAAATCCCAATCCTTCAGTGGAAGTATGTCGATAATCAAATTTCATTTCAAGGTGACCAATTAGCTGAAATAAGAAAACTTTCCTACATAAGACGCGCGACAATCTTGGGTATCAGCTAGTGTGGTGGTAGTAGGATCCCTGAAAAAAAGTAGATCGTTGTATGAGACCAATAATTCAGGAGTGCAACCGGAAGAAGGATAACGAAGCATCGCTCTAGGTCTCCAAATTGTGCACTGTGGCCTACGATCTCTAACGGCTCATGAAGGACTCCTGAGGTATGATTTCCGTAATATTTACCGATTTTTTTATTATATCCATCTTCTTCCGTAGTATTAGGTTGAGAAACGCGAATTATCGTTGGGCGAGAAGTATTTTTTGTTAACGATTCCCCAAACATCAAACTATAACTGATGAAGTAGCAAAATGGGAGCTCCCATACATGCTTCTACACACGCGAGGGAAAGATGAGTATTCTAGTCGGCGGGTAAAGGGGTAAAAAGGGCTACTCACATTGTGAAAGGGGAATAGTCCAGCGAGGGAGATGAGTGAAACTCGAGTGCCACCTACCAGTTATCCAAACCGTCATTTACAGAATGGTGTGGCATGCTATTCCATCTGCATACCAACGAGTGGCGAAGGATGTGGGTGTATGATCTTATACCCGAAGTTGGTGTAGGACTTTGTACCCGATCAACGTACAACTCTTATCCATCCGCCGCTTGGGAGAGTGCATTGTAAGGATAAGATATAATTTCCCAGTAGATCACTTCAGTGATTGCAGCAAAATCGCTGCTGCGTATCGCAATGGGCCTTTCAGACTTCAACAACGTGCGTTTAAATCGTTGCATTACCAGCCACACGTTGACAGCGCTGGATAACCTATTAACGTTGGCCGCACGGCGGAAGTCTCCGCCTCCGACGTCCGTTGCGCTAGAGCATTTTATTTCCTAAGTGGTGAAGAATTCCGTCACCGGCGGCGCAGTCGTTCCCAACAGACGTCCGCTGCTCGTTCAGTGTTTTCAACAAACGATGTCCAGCGCTGTCAACTTGTTCCTGTTTTAACGTTTTTGATGTATAGCGTTGCAGCGCTTTTAACATACGCAGTTGGACTCTGAA